GCCATTTTGAGAAGTAAACCTAAGAAGTGGTTGTCCTTATTGACTGTTAGTTTCTGATACTCATACCTTATTTTTGTACAGCGTAAGTGAAAAGCTTCTTTCATGCCACATCAAACATGAAATTAAAGTAAGTTTTCGACTCTGTTATTTTCCATTTCCATATCAAAGCGGAATTTTTGTTCACCGCTCTGTTCAGTATAGAAATAACTTTTGCTTAAACTATTGCGATTCAAGTTATGGAAAGTATAATCCCAACAAGTTCCATAAGCGTTGATAAGTGGATGGATGTGCCTATAACTCTATTGGGAATCAGTGTCTAGGCATTGAACGACACGTTTATTCGATGTTACGGTCAATTTTATGGAAGTTGAAATAACACGTTCGAATGAGGTATGTTTTTCAACTTTGCCTTAAAGTTTAGGTAAGTAAAGGAGTTTTACCGCAGTGGGAAAATCGTGTAGCTAATCTTCAATCTTTAGTCTTTCAATGCAACTGTATATATAATAAAACTCTACTACATGAACAATTATCCATTTACCTTCCCTACCGAACAAGGACTATTAAAACATTTTTCTCACCTTATCATCACTTTCCTACAGGAGAGTCAGACAGAGAGAGAACCTTCCTTTATTTCTTTCTAAGTTAAGATGCTCTGTCTTATTACATAAGTTTTCCACGTGGCTCTCATTGATTCAATGATTCGTGTACACGTGGGCGAGACATGAGGGAATTCATGTATGACACCGACTTCCTAAACTTCCTACTTCTTCCGCTATCACGAACAAAGATTGTACCATCGGCTCTGAGTGAAATATTTCGAATCGCCGGCGTTTGTACTTTTGCTTTATCTTTTTCAGCTTTCGTTAAATCAATTAATGAACAGTGGGTGCGTGCCTTGAAAGAAAAAACTGTAGCAACTCAACATCCTTTTCGTGAGCGCGCTTTCCTCCATAGCATCCCGCCGTCACAACATGTTTACGGTGCTGAATCGTTTCACTGCTCCAGTTCTTTAAGAAAACAACCATCAATTTTCTTTTTCAGATGAAGATGTGGTCTTTCGGGCGTCTTAAGAGTGCGAGTTGAATAACGCGAATAACAGGAACATTAAACAGCTGACTAACCTCGCCATAAAAGCGTGGTCTTCACCAGCCGCTACGAGTGTACTCCACAACGTTTAGTGGCTCTTCTCTCACTAATCCACCAAATGGCGTTACCGAAGTTTCTTGAACCGTTTTGATATTTGTCACTCGTGAATGGTGAAGCCTCAAGCGTTGAGATTATCGTGTATTTAAGAGAAAAGATGTCAGCCATCAATTATTCAGTTGCGAAGAACCGTCGCGCTTGGTTGAAAGCTATCTCTTCAAAATATAAATAACACAATATGCAAATATATTGTTACGCGAAATGATTGGTCAGCTTCTGCAACGTTTCGATCATATACTCTTTGTTATGGTTTTGCTCTAGTTTACTTTTATTAATCAGTTTTCTGTTAGTTAATAATTATTACATAATAAGTTTGTTATCTACAATCTATTCCCATTTAAGGACATGTGAAAGAGATTCGATTTAGGTCATCGCTACTAGTTTATCGCTGTTAGTTTGTTCTCAGATGCTACCACTGTCAGTTATTTGCTCTCAGTAGGAGCTAGAACAAAGAAGGTTTTTATCTCTTACGATATTTACCTTATGTCTGTGTCATTGGTGTAGTTCTCGTATTCAGTTTTCTGTGCAATCGCTTCATTTTTAGTTGGTTAATGTTACATTTCGTGACGCATTTTTCTTAGTTTAGTTTCTGTTGCATTTTCTTTTAGTTCGAACCACACAACCCCAATCGCTACTTCGATCAAACACAAATTCGTCTCAGCGCTATCTTCTTCAAGTATTAAAAATGCCTTCACATTCTATGTGCGTTCGAATTGTCCACTCAGCCGCTTAGGTAACCTTTTGAGGTTACACAAGCAATCAGTTGTCTAAGGTTGCACCCTGTATACTGAGAGTTTCCCGTTTCGTCGTTGACATAAAAGAAAAAGACGTTTTCATCTCCACGCATTTAGCAATTAATCTAAACGGAACCCGAATATCTACTCATTCCTTTTAGGTCTAAGAAAATGGAAAAGTGTCATATTCGAATCGTCGATTTCACTTTCCCTTTGGAAAACAAAATTATCAACTAAACGCCTCCATGGAAGCCAAAAATAAACAAATCAAACACGGAAGTAGATTGTTCGAACAACAGCGAGAGTAACGAATTACGTCAGCTGAAAAGCTAAACAATATTGGACGTTCATGATGATAGAGAGAATCTCAGGAAATACCTGTCAGCTAGTGGTATTTTCACAGCAGTCTATTTTGTTCAACTATCTAAAAATATCCCGTCCGGGCTAAATGCTGGCGTCTATGAATTACAAACGATTGCTTGGTAAGTAGACTTTGCTGAGTTAAACGTCTCTAAACTCCTAGCGCTTCTTAAAACTAATTTTGCTTAAATTATGAGACCTACGTCTCTTGAGGCAGTTGCAAAGGAGGCCGAGTTTATTGTTTCTGTGGATTTAATTGGTCAGAAGCATCGTGTTCCTGTATTTCTCCGAAATTCTAAGAGAATATCGAGAGTGTTGGTTGGCGGCGCCGGGACAAAGTTCAGACTGCCATGTTCAGTGGAGCTGGAGGAAGGGGAAGAAAGTTTCGAAAAATTTTTGCACAGCCGCAAGAGAAAAAGGAAGAAAATTGTGAGAAAGAAACACGTACCTCGAAGCAGAAGTTCTGTCGTAAAACCGCCATTGAAAGACGCCGTCAAAACAAGATTTTTGAAAGCAATCCTTGGTCCTTATTCAATATTTGAGCGGTCATGGTCCGTATTCTATATTTGAGTGCTCACAGGCCAAAGGCTAAGTGGAAATTTTCTAAGTCCAAACGTCAAACGTTTGATCATAAGTTACTATTCGTGGTAGGTGCATGTATAGTTTGATTTCTCATGCCCCTGAAGCCTTTTCACAGTATGATATTGAGCTATCAAAAAATGACTCGAGGTAGTTTTCTCTTTAAATACATTTAAGACCACTTCTTGAGTATGGACTGGAAAAATCATTATTTTCATTCTCGATAAATAATAGTTAATTATTTACTTGCCGCCATGTGGCTCGATAAATAATTCATAGAACTATGCGAAATACTGTGAAAAACTTAAAGAGAAAAAAACAGTGATTCTAAGCTCTTGGACATACTTACAGTGATGTTCCTTAGGTTAGAGGTCATTAAGATCTAGCATCCCAAGAGCCCATTTTCTTTAGACCTTATTTGGAGTCAGTGGAAAAAAAAAACGACATCGCATCCAAAGGTAACCTTCTGGTAGCTAGTTACTATACCTGGGGGTGGGGCTGTCTGAGTATCACATTATGAATACCAATAAAAGGATATTTCTACAATAAGTAAATGTGGAATGTAAGGTGAGGCCACGAAATTCCCAGTTATGTAGTAACATAACCTTAACAACATATGAAACGTGTCTACATGCTTTAATATAAAAAAAATTGCTTCATGCTTCAGCTGTGCGCATATCGAGTTATGGATGCACTTGGGAAGTTTAACGTGTACTGTAGAAGCTAGAGTTGCCCGCGTTAAGTTACTTGATATAAATTCAGTGCGGAGGATGAAAAGTACTACTTGTTTACACCTTAAGTCACCTCTAAGAAAAAGAAGTGTCGAACGTGCTAAATTAAAATTTAAGAACTATTTCCTTGATCGGGAATTCGACATGGATTGAACCATAAAAATAAGAATATCAAAGAGTTGAAAAATATGAGAAAGGTTGTTTCCAAGAAATTCCAGTACGGGATCAATTTTTATAAGGTAAGGTCACTTTTCTTCGTAATTAATCTTTTCGTAACATAATGGAAATATACCAATATTTGGCCGTAAGTTGCAGTTTACGTCGAAACATCTGTCTCCATGTCAAATTCACGATCACAATAAGAAAAAGGTGACTGAAATTCTACCTGTAAGATAAGACCGCCAAAAGGATAAGAAGATCGCCAATAGGGAAAAGGAAATGATCAACTGACTTATTATAATTTTACTGAATGGTTTATGGTAATGTGCTATTTTCATTCATTTCCCAACACCTATATAAGGAAACCCTTACAATTTTTTTAGATTAACCATATTTCTATTTTTATCGTTTAACAAAAGTGAATAAGAAAGCATTTGAAAATAACCAATCTCAAGAATTAAAAGATAAACAAAACTTCCCCTTGAGGAGTCTAAGCAATGTCAAGGACAAACCCAAACACGACTAGTGATGGTGATTATCGTACGAGAATTAAGTCCTGATACAACGATCAAGGACACATCACTCAAAAGGTAAAAATAAAAGGGTGGTCTGGCAGCACATGACAAACAAAGGCTCACAAGACTCGTTCAAGCATTTCAAGATAATCAAACTCTTAAACACAGTGCAACATGCATTGTGCAAATTTCGTCTATGCACTAATGGTTCCTGGAGCCTTAAAAGCTGATTACAAGAGGTAAGTAAGCACTGATTTTACTGCTCTGATCTTTTCAGCTGTTTTCTGGAAGCATCGGTAGCCCTCTGGCTTTCAGAACTCTCTTCAAAACCCCTAAGCCACTCAATTGTTTCTTAACATGAATCTATTGCTAAACCCATCACTGCTGATCAAATTGCTTGGAGCGTCTTGACCAGTTTTATGTACATATTTCATTTTTTCCTTTATAAGTATACTTTAAAGTTTTAGCTAAAACAAAGAATTATTATAATACTAGAAAAAGGGCTTACACTGTGCTATGCAAAAAATTAAAACTGATTTAAAAAAACGAAGAAATAAATGTAGCTTTGTAGCATCAGCTTACATGATGATAAAAGCAACTACCTCACAAGATGACTTAAAACATTACAGTTCAGCTGGTGTACTTGGAGCAGACATTGCGAATAAGGTATCAATTCGCACAATCAGATCATTTACGCTATTTCGTACTTGGGTTTGACCATTTCGCCAGTAGATCAAGTGCTGTTGTAACACTCTGTTGAGGTAACTCTGAAGACGGACGGTCTTCTGGTCCTGAATGCAGATAAAGGCATAATGGTTGTTAATTATTTCGCCTACTTCTCGCATTCCCTTCTCCATCCTCTCTTTAAGGTGATCCATTTGTTGGGCCAGCACCCTCTTCATCCTCTCAACACGATTACTCGCTTTTTCAAACTGTGAACCTTGTTGGGCCACTGTATCCTGCATTGACTCACAACGGTTACCCATCTCTTGCAATTGCGAGTCGTAGTGGGTCATTTCCTTCTTCAGCTTCTCCGCACGATTATTCATATCTTGTAATTGCCAGTCGAGCTGGGCAATATTTCTCTCAATCTTCTCTACCCGTTTATCCATTTCTTTGGACTTGGAATCTTGCTGGGCCATTTTCTTCTTCATCATCTCTCCACGATTATTCATATCTTGTAATTGCGAATCGTGCTGGGCAATATTTCTCTCAATATTCTCTGCACGTTTGACAATTTCTTTGGACCGCAAATCTTGTTGGGCCATTTTACCCTTCATCATCTCTCCACGGTTATCGATCTCTTGCAATTGCGAGTCGTGCTGGGAGATTTTCCCCTCAATCTTCTCTGCCCACTTTCCCATTTCTTTGGACTGCAAATCTTGTTGGGCCATTTTTTTCTTCATTATCTCACCACGATTATCCATGTCTTGCAATTGCGAGTCGTGCCGGGCAATACTTCTCTCTATCTTCTCTGCCCGTTTAACGATTTCTTTGGACTGCGAATCTTGTTTGGCCATTTTATTCTTCATCATCTCCTCATGATTATCTACCTCTTGCAATTGTGAGTCGTGCTGGGCAATATTTCTCTCTATCCTCTCTGCCCGTTGAATGATTTCTTTGGACTGCACATCTTGTTGGGCCATTTTATTCTTCATCATCTCTCCACGATTATCTATCTCTTGCAATTGTGAGTCGTACTGAGAGATTTTCCTCTCAATCTTCTCTGCCCTCTTTTCCATTTCTTTGGACTGCAAATCTTGTTGGGCCATTTTCTTCTTCATCATCTCCCCACAATTTTCCATCTTCCTTGCACTATTTTCCATTTCTATCAATTGTAAATCGTGTTGGGACATCTTCCTCTTTGTAATCTCTCCATGGTTTCCGATTTCCTCCAAGCGTATGTCATGCTGGGCCATCTTTTTATCCATTTCTTGTTCGCGATTATTCATTTCTTTCAGTAGCGAATCGTGTTGAGCCATTACCTTCTCCACATTTTTTGCACGGCTACCGCATTCTTTCAAATGCAAATCGTGCTGGGCCAACTTCTCTTCCATCCTTTCTGTGCGATTATTTATTTCCTTCGATCGCGAGTCGAGTTGGGCCATTTCTTTGGTCATATTCTCCAGGTCAGCTATTCTTCTTTCAAGCTTCTTAATATAGACTTTTGTATCAAAAGGAGGGGGTTTAGTCTGGGCGTCCTTGTTTTTACCTGCACCTTTAGTTAACAGATACAAAATGGTGAAAAAAGCGTTCCATAACTTGCTGAAGACACTCTGAACGGCCACATGAAGTGCCATACGGAAATGCAACGATTCGCTGGTAAGACCCTGTGAGAGCAAAAAAACCACATATCTTACTTTTTCACAAACTCATACAGCTAGATTGACGAAACAAAATAAGACAATTCTCGTGCTTACTACCTACACAACTATCTCACTGTTTGGGAGTGAATCCCGAACAAGTCTTAACAATGACGTCCAAACTCTAATACTGAAGCTGCAAATATTTTGTTCAGTTCATTTTTTTTATTATTGTTTTGGTGCTGACGCAAGCGAAGGTATAAAATGTCCTAAACCCTTCGGAGAGTATGAAACAAAAAAGTGGCACAAAAATATCTTGAAAAACTTAGTGAAAAGAATCTTATGCAATGAGTCAAAGCTTCTTTTCTTAATGGATCTGTGCAGTCAACAGTAACAGATCAATGTGTAAATAAAACAGACAGACAGCCTAATCATATCATTTGAAGAAGGGACATACGTACCAGGAAAACTGAAGAATGTCCCTTACACTGATAAAAATTTTTACCTCATTAAATACAATTGATCCACTCTCAAGTTGATTACAATCCCTTTCATCATCCTCAAACTCCTAGGAGAAAGGAGTAACATTTTATTCGTAAGCATGTTTGCATACAAAAAATGATCTATAACAAAGTAAAATAACAAATTAAAATAACATAGCGTGGAGGTTTACAGTCTCTAACCACGATTGAAACTTTTGGAGTTCAGAACAGTTAAAAATATGATTAAAGTTCATCGTATGTTGCATACCTCTTCGTTATTGAAACCAGGAGACGGAATGTCTTTTTCCTCATGGGAATGGGTTTCCTCTTCAGTCTATATTAATAAAAAAAGAACAGATTAATGTCTCACGAAAACAACACAATCCAAAATCGACAAATAAAAGCAGTTTGGTCGCGACCTTTAGTCGTGATATTCCGTTTCAAACCAACGTTACTTTAAAAAAAAACTTTCGCATATTCCCACAATAATGAAATAAGACATGGTTTGAGGAAGTGAACTATCGAAGGTAAATGACTGAAATAAGTAGCCTTGGAACAAGTACCTTAGTTTGAGCCCAAAAAAAAAAGTTACGATGAACAATCCTATCTCCTTCAAGTCAGCCGAGCAACATTGTTTCTGGCAAATATTTTACCTCACTGCATAGTTCAGGTGAACCTTCGAGTTGAGTGCAGTCTGTATCATCCAACCAGGATTGGTCTGTCAGTCCACATCCCTCTTCCTTCTCTTTCTGAGTACCAATTTTAAAGTCTTCGGAATGAGAGTTTTCTAGGTTCTTAAAGTGTAAAGGTTTAGTGTAGTTTAGTGTAGGATCACTTGAAACGCCTTTTATTTATGTCCTTTCGTTATCTCTCTAAAGAAGTAAAGTTAGTCCCGCGTGCAATTAAAGTTACTAATCAGTGTACATTGTAATAGATTTTCTGTGCGAATTTATGTGTAAGACGTAAATTATATATAAGCAGTCTTAAAACTGGGGTGAGAAAGTTAGATCTGTCGAGAACAATGAGTGAAGTTTGTGGAGCGGACCGCCTTTAATGCACATCTTTGCTTTAAATTGTAATATTTGCGATTTTATTTTTCTCTATTGCTCAGCCTGTACTTTCACTTAACCTCGATTTTGTTTCTTCTCAAGTCAGTAATTATTATTTTAGTGTTCCAGATTTTAGTGTCCCCAATCATCATGCTAAAGTATTCATAACACCTAAAAAATTCTTAATTATCTTATCTCCACGGTTGGCAGAGTGCACAAAGGAATCTCATTCAAATTTCAGTCACAATTATCGTTTCGATGCGCCACTGAAAGATGTCATAGTATAAGGTGCCAAATATACGTGACATCAGCGCTTCTCGTGCGATTTTGTTAAGCATAGGTACTAATTGTCTTTTGTTGGTAGAGACGGCGGTGGTTCGCACCATTATAAAGCTGAATCACTCCTTAAGGTCTCTAATCCCGATTATGGCTCATAATTTAAAATAGAGCCTTCAACAAAATAGCGACCGATATCAAAAAATTAAATCGTTCGGCAAAAAATGGTCTTAGACTCAGTTAATGTCAATGCACGTCCGAAGAAAACACATACGTTTGCATAAGGAGATAAAGCATAGCCCTGAGCTGTAAAGATGTCTGTCTTTCTCAGACGCCATTTTGTTGAAGGGTCAATGACGAGACATAATAGAAAACAGTTTAATTAATATAAAAGTGGTAGCTTTTCTGCATAAATGGTGTACCTCTTCGCTTTCGTAGTTGGAATTTAGGATGTTGTTACTGTTCTCATTGGCTGGGTGTTCCCCTTCAGCCTTTTTAAGACAAGAAGGAATGAATGTTTCACCAAAAACTTCGAATACAAAATACACAAATAAAATTATTTTCCATGCTGTTATTCAAGTCTTTCTTTCTTAAGGTCTCTCTCGTATAGAGCATTCACAGTCCTTCATCAATCCTCCCATTTTGAGCTTTGTGTTGCATTTCACTCCATTGCGACGCTATCTTCTGACCTTTTCCATTTTTGTAATAGCCTCCTAAGATTTTCCTCCTTGCGAGTTCGATGAAATACTGAAATAGGAGGAGAATTGCGGAGAGCCGAGTGGTTTCCCATTACATTTGATTGACAGTGAGATGAACCCTCAGTATATAGACCTTCGTTTAATCCCAAAAAATGAAAATAAAAATATAGTTTCTCTGGATCATTTACAGACATCTCTTATTTTAGAGGAGGGGTTACCTTACTGCAGATCTTTTTTTTCTCCAGAGGTTCTTCTGTCAATTTACATTGCTCATCACCCTCGTCACGTCTATCACATTGCATTTCCTTTGAATGAAACATCCTCAAGTCCTAAAAGTAAGGAATATCAGAAATTACAATTTCGGTCTAGTTCTCAAATCCATTCATCTAATTTCATCCCAACTCAGTTCTTAAAATCTAGATTTAAAAATTACGAGTGTACGGGTTGTCTAAAGAATAGTTAATAAGTCTGGTCAGTCAACCACGTAGGCTCTCAAAATAAACAAGTCATTGTTGATTCTTATTACAGCGAAATATTTTTGCCATATAATTAATCCTTATTGACCAAGCTAAGAGAATATAAACTCTTTAACTTTCATGCAGACCCAGACAAATCTGGCAAAGGAAGACAGTACAAAAAATGCACTTTCGAGCCCCAAATTTGTCTAAGGTATAGGTAAATGGACTTCCTTTTCCTTGTAATTTGGTTCATAAATTGTTGACTTCAGCACTGATCACACAGGTATATCGTCAAAATCTGTTGCACTTAAGAGTCTGATTCAAAGATATAAAGAGAAGTATTAGTCAGTGTTCTCATTATTTTGACGTCCGTCAATTTGATGCCAAAAGTACATCAGTATAAGGGTTTGCAGCCAATGCTTCTCGACCTACGTCTCAAGCAAATACAAGATGCTAATTTTAATATCAGTGAGCCCACAATATGCCATGAATATTGTTCAGAGGATTCTTTGGTGTAACAACTGTCACTTCACATCTCAATGTGAATGTCTGCTATAACAACAATGCACTAGCGCAGTTAAACAATTGCATTAAAGGCTTATTACATTTAGGACCAAATGTCATTACATTTAGGACTTGATTATATTTAGGTCAGTTATTTCAGTTACGCCTTCAACAAGGTTTGTGGGGTTGGCGAGGTTCGTGGGGTTAGTGAGGTTGGTGAGTTAGTGAGATTGGTAATACTGGTGAGGTTGGAGAAGTACTGGTGAAGATGGTGGTGTTGGTGTGGTGTTTAATGAAGTTTGTGAGGTTTGTAACGTCAGTGATGTCGGTGAAGTAGGTGAGGATGTTGATGTCGGTGTGGTTTTGTTGGGTTTACATTGGTGAGGTCTGTGAGGGTCGGTTGCACAGTTTGTGGTCAGGTTGGTGAGTCTGGTGAGGTTAGTGAGGTGGGTAAGGTTGGTGACCGTAGTGAGGTTAATTGGGCTTCTGAGGTTGTGGTGAAGCTGGTGAGATAATGTCAGTATTAATATAGTTGGTGAGGTCGATAAGACTGATGAGGTCGGTTGGGAGGGTGACGTTAGATGATGCTTGTTGGTGGGGCTGGTGAGGTTAATTATGTAAATACAACTGGGATTACAGTGTGCTAGGTTTGTGAGACTGGTGAGGTTGGTTGGGTTGCTGAAGTTGGCAGGATTGGTGAGTCTGGTGAGGTTGATTGAAAGTCGTGGGAGCATATCATATTGCCTGAATGCTGAAATTGGGGTAAAAAACCATCAGCTCAACTAAAACCCACATCAATTTCACACTTAATTAGTCTAATAATCTCAAATTAAATTGTCAAGTTTGTCAAGGTTTAAGAGGGTAGTGAGATGATTTGGTAATTTCAGTGGGAGATTGGAGAGGCTGGTGTGAGGTTGAATTGGAAAGTATTAAGGTTGCATGTTAACCCTTTAACTCCCAAGATCTTATTAGTAATTCTTCTTACCGTCTGTCATACAATTCTTATGATGTAAATTTGGAGAATTGGTACTGGATCAATTAATAATCCCCCAATTGATATTATACTTTATTCTCATCACTTCTAAGCTTGATGTTGTATTGATATTGTAAGGAGAAATTCTCTCTTAATCACTCATGGGAAGTAAAGAGTTAAGTTTATTAGGCTGGTCAGGTAAATTTGGCAAGGTTTGGTTGCTTGCTTCGAATCCGAGAGAGGGAATTAAATTGGGCAAACATATAGGTACATGCATGGGGTAACTAGAAATACATCACATTGTCTTAAATTAGTCCACTACTTCCTTGTGTGTACAGTATTAGAGCTAGCCATTTAAATTTAGAAGATAGCTGACAGCTTACTTTTTCCTCTTTAAGGGTTTCTGTTCTTGCAAGGTATGAAGTCATATATAGACCTGAATGAGTGAAATCTCCTCTGTAAAATAACAAAATTAATTCATATTATGAACTTGAACAAACCTTTATCCTCTTGGTAAGGTTAGTGCTACTGAATAAAACTGATTATAATTTTCAAAA